AGGCTCTTCCTACCATGGACTTGATGTACAATTCCAGATGCAGTCAGGTGATTGACTCCATCAACGTAATTGCTCTGTTTTTCAAAATAGGGTATTGCAGTCACACATTTTACTGTCCCCAGTGCTGTGGTTCTCTGGACTCTCCAATGCATTTTTTCCCTTCTTCTAGTAGAGTATGGGAGTCCTTGCCACTTATCAGTTCCTAACTGCTGGGATGGTGAACCATAGAGGCCTGTCCTCCTGAGTGTGCACAATACCACTCAGTTGAGAGTAGGGCAGTGGCATTCTGCTAATGGAGGTGGTGTAACACCCTTTCCACTGCAGACCAGATACATAAATTCAGATGGTGCCAGGTATTGGATGTAGTACTCTGCCATATATTGCAGTTTGCCCCTCCATCTGAGGCACCCTCCTTCCTACAGTTTGCCAAATGTTGGTTCCTGGGAATTGGGTGTTGGTTGGAGCCGGACAATCCACATAAGTCCTCACATGTGTTTGGATACTACACCCTCCTCCGACCATGGACTGGATGATAAATTCCCATTGCCACCAGGTTTTGAACTGGAGATGCAACCCCAAATAATGGTCCCTCTTCGTACTGTCCAATGGATATTGGTTCCCAGTGAATCTGGTGTTAGTCGTAGCTGGGCAAGACGCATAAATTCCCATATGTGTAAAGTTGAATACTGTCTTCCTGCCATTGACTGGACGAAAAATTCCCAATGCCACCAGGTTTTTGACTGGAGAGGAACACCCACCTGGGCTCTCCACCTTCCTACCATTTGCTGATGTCAGTTCCCGGTAGATCTGATGTAGGTTGTGTTGTAGGTGCATGCATGTGGAGAAGTGTTCTGGGTACAGAAGCTCCTCTTCCCTCCCAATACACATTTTTGGGGTGAAAGGTATTGAACCCTCTTATTACTGTAGACCTGACGAACATTCCAGATGCCACCAGGTGTTGGTTGAGGTCAAATTCCCATTTATGGTCTGTTGCACCCCATGTACTCTACACCAGAGGGTCCCATTTTTTCTATAATTTTTCTGGGGGAGTCCCTCCATGTTTCCACCCTTTTTGGCAACACATTACTACAGGGTGAAGAGTATACCAAGCTCAGAAGTGATGCAGTCTCCCATGGATGTGTTGTTTTTAATTTTTTCTCACACCCATGGTTTTCCTTTTGGCACTTCCTAAAGGGGAATCATTTCTCTGGCCCTCCACAAGTTCAGAGTGGGATTCTAGCTTTTTGTGAGAAGAGATAAGATATTGTATCAGAAGTTAACATTTTCCCAAAATGAAAATGTATTTCCTATAGATACCTCTTCTCACATTTCCCACTTGTCCTCCCCACTTTTGATGTGGTTTCATGTGATCTGACCAATCTTGAAGTGATGAACAGCTGCAAGATTAGATAGGGTACTAATTACAATAGGAATAGTGTCACACTCCTGTTGGTGGAGGGTTGCTGCATAATCATTTGCATGTTAATATGCAGAGGTAAATGGGAGTATCAAGGCTAGTGGCAAGCAAAAATTTGCACTGATAGAGGGCAGTGTAAGTCAAGAAAGCTTTTTGTGAAAGGAGGTATTTATCAGAAATACATTTTCTGTTTAAGAAAAGTTGACTACCTGCTGAAGGTCTTTCTCTTTCAGTGTGGTGGTTTGGGAATTTTTCTGGTAGTTCATGGCTGGTGAGAGACAATGAAGTCATGTATCAGCAGGTACAGCTGCAACTGAGTATGACATGCTGAGGAACTTTTGTTTTTTCCAATTAGATTTTTTTTTCTTGACTTATTTACCCCATGCATAGGGTTAAGCATGGCTGTAGCTTTTCAACTCTTCAGTTAGGCATTATATATCTTTTTGGTTCTTTTAATCTGTGTTTTCATTGGATACGAGTCCAAATTTCATTGTTGTGCCAATTTTGCTTTTGGCACAACTCTGACAGACAAGTCATATACTTCCTGGTTTTTGAAAGTGTGGAAGTTTCCTTCTCTCATTCTTTTTTTTTTACTGCTGCTGGTTGAGATGTGCACCTGAGAAAGTTGGTGCTTTCTTTGGCTTGGAAGAGGAGGTATCTGGATTGCTGAACGTTAAGGCAAGCAGTGTGCTCCTCATCTGTACATCTTTGTGAGAGCCAGGGAAGATGTTGGGAACAAAACTACTTTTTCTTTGCAACAGTTCTACAGTTTTGTTGTCTAATGGGGCTATGAGGCAGATGACTGGGACTGGTAAAGGTCAGTCTGGACTCTGGAAGATCACTAGCTTTCATGTACTTGATGGTAAGTGGCATGCAGGTTAGATCTTCCAGTTCAACTGTGGATTGGATGTTCAAATCTTGACTATCTTCCATGATTGAAGAAAAGGTTGAAAAAGTGAAGTTAGCAAGAGGCAGGGTTTTAGAATAGTTGCACACAGTGTGTGCCAGTGGATTTGGTCAGGACTCAATTTTACTGTAGCACTGACAAGCACACTCCCATGTTAGCCATCCTCTACCTTAAATTTCAGTAAATCACCAGTGTGGTGATCATTAAATGTGTAAATTTTATTTTATTTCTCTCTGGATGTCATATTAGTGTATGTTAAGAAAAAGAAACAACAAAAAAAACGGTATCTTTGATGTCTGCATTACATTTCCTGAGATGTGTATTTCTTCATCTTTGTAGAGAAACTGTGAGACAGAAGTATATGACTGTATGTTCAATGGAGACTCAAATAAATCATCTTTGATTCAGTTACACTCCAGATGTCTAGAAGGTTTGGTGTCTGTATCCAGATATTTTGAGCATTCTATAACCTGGAGAAGAGGCTGATCAAGAACTCAGATTTTTGTATTGAATGGTGGTTGGTGAAACCTATCACATATTTAAGTTATTTTTGAACTATCTACATAAAGTACATTTTACTGCAGTAATCTTGGCAGACATCTATATGGTACTAAAAATAGAACTCTACCACTCATGTGTACCAATATTTGCTGGTAAAGAGCAGTTCTCCATGGAGACTAACATGCCTGGCTCTTGGGTACAAACCAGTTGGCACAAGAAAACAAAACAGTAATTGTGATTTTGTATCTAGTAGTCTACAATCAAATCAGTGCAGTATAAGGCTTTGTTGAATGGATTCAACACAGAATACAATTACTTTTCTATGAGGTAGAATATCTTTTCAAGTAAAGAGATGAAGTGCCATAAAACCAGTTTTTAGAATAAGAAATTGACTTATATTAAAAGTTTAATTCTCAACAACAAATGTTTGTTGTTTAAAACATGAAGTGTCCTTGCTGCCAGGTGCTCAATACTTGTTTGATTCTTGTTACATGTTCTCTAATACATGAAGTGACCTTTACTAATGTATTCCATGATTGTTTTTGTGTCTGACATGCTAATGAAATCACGTTTTCAAAATATTAACTGCTGTATTTGTTCAAATATAATGCACACTTTTTTTTTCCAAATACTTCCCAAAAAATTCACTGCACATTATATTCGTATACATACAATGTTTTTGGTATTTTACTAGAAGCTATCGCCGAAAATCATTAAAGCATCATTAAAGGTTTCAAAAAATGTTGCATATCCAATGCAATGGATAGAATGGATCATGGCATGCTGTGGGAATCAGAAGATAATTTTGTTTTATAGTTTTCTCAAATATTTGTCCTCTGGCACTCACCAGTGGCTTGAGTACTTATAATGCTAAATATTGGGAATAGATCCCTGAGGTAGGTACAGTGCAGATAGCACATTGCATAGTTGTGTGCTTAACAACAAACTCAAATATTTTTAGTAGGGATGCATGGGCATCCAGCCAGATATTTAGCCCTGACCTTGTATTGGGCTACCCGGTAATACTCGTCTCAGGCCGAGTGTCAAAGTTGGGCATCTAAGCCCTAATCTTTGTGGCAACTAATGCAGTACTGAAAGTTACAGTTAATAATTGGTTTAGTTATAAAAAAACGTTTCTGAGCAACAAAAACTGACCGCCTGCTGAAAGTCGGGGGGATTCAGAGAACAATAGGGGTTAATAACAGGCATGGCTTGAGAAGTGGATTTATGGGGAAGGTAGGGTTTTGAGGACCGTAGGGGTTAATAACAGGCATGGCTTAAGAAGTGGATTTATGGGGAAGGTAGTGTTTTGAGGACAGTAGGGGTTACTACAGGCATGGCTTGAGAAGTGGATTTATGGGGAAGATAGGGGTTTTGAGGACAGTAGGGGTTAATAACAGGCATGGCTTGAGAAGTGGATTTATGGGGAAGGTAGTGTTTTGAGGACAGTAGGGGTTAATAACAGGCATGGCTTGAGAAGTGGATTTATGGGGAAGATAGGGGTTTTGAGGACAGTAGGGGTTAATAACAGGCATGGCTTGAGAAGTGGATTTCTAGGGAAGGTAGGGGTTTTGAGAAAAATCAATAGGGGTTAGGATTTCAGAAGTTGGGGCTAGGCATTGAAAGTTGAAAGTAAAACTTGAATGTTCTGTTGGTGATTATTTGGTTAAATGTAATAAACATCAATTTTGTTTTTGTTTCTAATTTTTGTGTATGTTGATTTGTTTTGTGTGTTTTTTTTGGGGGGGCCAAGGGGAGAACCTGGTCCCGATTGACACTCAGTCCCGGTCAAAGCTTAGCGACCAGGTACCCGGACCCATTATTCAGACAAATTTTATGACATGTGCATCCCTAATTTTTAGTAGTATATCTTGAAAAAGTTCCAAAATATATAAAAAGGTATGTAAATCTCAAATGAGATGAGATCCAATAGTTTTATGTTTGGCTTTATGTTTTTACTTTTGTTACAGACTGGGAGAAACCCTCCAAATTTATAGAATTCCATGTTGTTCAGTCAGTGATTCAGTAGAACAGATAAACATTTATTGAATTTATTTAAGACTTAAGAAAAGTTTTTTTAGTTTATAAAGAATGATGGATGTTTTGATTTTCAAACACACTGTACTGTTGAATAAAAAGTTTTCATACGATGTTTTAATTAATAGATTTTTCTAGTTTTTTATAGACTATAACTTATATGGAATGAATTTCATCAATGTGAGTGCCTTGAAGTTTCGTAGACCGTCTAGAAAACAAGATGAAATATCTTCCTGGAAGTTAACATCTGATTCGAACTTTCAAGTCTGGGACATAAAGAATTTACCTGAGTGAGTTTTTTTGTTACTGAAGAAAACATTTTTTTTCTCATATCTGCTGTATATTTTTATTAATGGGGTAGTCGTAGAGGTGTTTTTGTGGTAGAAATATTTTTAAAGTTACTGTTTGAAGTCTTTTTTGTGAATCTTTTATTCAGTCATAAGAATAATTGAAACATCAATACCAGGATTCTTAAAAAACAAAGTACTTATTAAATTTTTTCCAAGTTGAACATAATTAAACTCACAATGAGAACCTGACTTGCCTAGACATTTATGAATGACATAATTGGGCACCAAACTTCTAACTCAACAATATAATCTTGACATAAGAAAAATCTAACTTTGGACATCATCACAAAACACTTATAAACTTTCTGATTAAGTATGACTCACTATTTATAAGCTGGAACTAAGTTTCAAGCAATATCCTATCTGATGCTCCACATTCTCGAACATCTGGCTTATGCAGTCTTCAGTTCTCTTTTTTTTTTTATGTACACAGTCTTTTTCTTACTACAAGATGTTATGGTTACAACTCGCCATGGGACAATTGTCGGCTATCGAAAAAAACATCAGATGATCTTGTTTGCATAGAATAATAGATTGATTTACGTACAGTCATAGCAACACTTATTTACACATGATAATTAATTCATTTACATGGCTATAGCTACCATGTAAAAACCCTTAACACTACCTACTGTCAGTCATTTTATGTCACTGTAAGAGTAATGTGACAATTAACTCTAGTGGGGTGTAGGTTGATATCATGCATAAACAAACTTAAGAGCCAGCTGAACTAAACTACAGAGGAAATGATACATAAAATATGACATAATAATAATTAATAAAACCAACACCTCACAATTTGACATTTACCATTATATTTCTTAAGTTTCCTAAGTGAAACAAAAAAGTACAAGCTTACAGATTAGTGGCAAGTGGAAAAGTTGAATTATACTGATTAATATCTAGTTACAGATCAGCAAACATTTTATTCTCGTGAATTCTTAACTTCACTAAATATGGTTAAATTGTCAGTTTTAGTAACATTTCATTTTTTCATGATGTGCTGAACATTACTGGATATACTCACATGTTTTTATTGAAGTGTATTCTTTCAGGTGGGTGGATTTTATTTTTTCGTATTTGTTTTTAGGAATGAGTCTTAAAATCACGATTTCTCACTCAGGAAACTGATTTAAATACACCTAGTTTAAATTTGGGAATAAAATTTGTCTAGAAGATGAACTAGCTTCTTAAAATAATGACTGTTGTCCTGAATATGGTAACATTATTACAAAGTTTTTCTTAGAAAAATCAAACTGTAAAATTGTAGGAGTGGTCAATTTGTTCAGCATTTCAAGCATGTTTTTGGTAACAGTGGAACTATTGTAAATTAATTAAGTTTCAAATAATTTTAAGTTATGCTTTTATGTAACAAAGTTAAATGGTTTACAAATGGCTACAATACATTGAACATTATTAACCAGAAATTTAATTAAATAAACTTTGAATACTGAAGAAACAAACTGCCAGAAAGAGTATATAACCCAGAAAAGAAAATGTCATTAAAAACAAGCATACTTACCTCTGAAAAACAAAAAACCTTTCCTTGTTCAGTTACTCTGATGTTGTTAAAAACATGTGGCTAAAGTTCTGAATGTCCATTCTACAATGCAGAGCATGCATCAACTTAACAAAAATTATCCAATCTCCCACCTTCCACATGACTTATTTCACTTTGGAGGTGATACTCACCCCTCACACAGAGAGGTATGTTTCCCGGGTGTTTTTTCCTTAGAAATGTGCATAACACTAGCCCTTAGGCAACTCTCACCTAAACTCACAAGATTCATCATGGTTTGCACTACTGCATAATGATTTTCCTTCTTTTTTCTTCAAACTATGAACTCTTGTTCATGTAACATCTACTAATACTTGTGTGAATGACTAATTTCTTCACAGAGGTTATGACATAAAAATGGCTTATGGAAGCACATTCCAAAAGGAAAGATGTGGTGGCCTTTCTGTTTAGGATAGTGGGTTCTCTTTTGCTGCCAGGTACTTCAGCTTTAGTTCCTTCATCGAGCATTATTTACCTGCATTTCTGCAACATTATGCTTATCTCTTCCTCTCTCCCTACATCTTCTTTCCTCAGTTTTTGTTATTTTGCATCCCCTTTTGAGATTCTCATGTTTGGGTTTACTGTTGTGGACTTTTGGCATAGATTTTGCCATCTGGTACCTAATTCTTCTGTCTTTCCCTGATCCATTTTACCACACTTGCCATTTCCTCTCTACACATCAACTCTGAGGCTCTACACTTTGCCCCAGTGCATTTTGTGGGTGTTTCTTGTTCCCTTCACTTCTCTACTGTGGCCATTCCCCTTCTACTTTCCTGCTCACTCACCTCCTTGTTCCTGGAGCATTTCGGTGGGGATACCATTTTTTCCTAGTTTGTTTGATTCATAGGCTGATGCTGACCATCATCTATCATCACTTTCGTCAGTAATTTCCACACTGTCCTCAATCCTACCCTCCATCACTGAACCACTTCTTTGTTCTACATTCCATGTCATTTGTACCCGGCATCATTCCCATTAATCTCATCGGTGCTTTTTCCATCTAGTCAGGTCCTGTGGGTGTCTGATTGTCATAGTTTGAGTGCCCGTAGTCACAATTTCAGTCCTCCTTTGGGGTTTCTGCTTTTCTCCTTGGGCTTTTTTTTACATTTCCCTCCTCCCCCTTCAGACTTCATCTTGTTTCGTTTTCATCTTCCATCTATGTCCCATGTCTCATCAAGGCTGTGTTCCTTCCCACTTCCAGCAACTCCTCACTTCCAATCAATATCTTATTCACTGTGGTGGTGTTTTGGCTCATTCTTGGCTGGGATTAGCCTCCTTACATCTGTCTGTGCTCACTGGGATTCTATTCATTCTGTGTGTGCAATTTCTTGTTTGCTAACCAGGGCTTCATAGGGTCTACTTCTCCCTTTAGGTCACACTCATATGCACCTCCTCGGTTGCCATTGCACAGTCAGAGGGGAACCTTACAGAATTCTTTGAACTCATTGTTTTTTCTGTCCCTTCCTCTATTTTGATCTTTGTATGGGTGGTAGGACTGTTTTCCTATCACCATCAGAATTCCAATACTTCCACCCAAACTAGACCTACACTTCTTCATATGTTTCCTCCTCTGGCTGGGGAGCATCCCTGACTGTCTATTTTCCATTCAGCACATGGTCCCAGGACATGTCCTCTCTCCATATTCATGCACTTGACCTTCTGGTTGATGGTTGTACATGGTCCTCTTCTTACCCCTCCTAGTGGTTCATTTTGCTAGGTTCCATTTCAGTTACTCCTTGGTTTTTCCTCAGTCAGCCACCATTGGGTGTCCCATTCCAGAACATTTTACATTCACACTGTGCCCCATCCTTCATAGGCATATTTTCATTGGGCCATGTACTAGATACTATGTACTGAGTTGTGGACTGCTTCTCTTGGCCAGATGGTGATTTACTTGCACAATGTCTCTTCTCCCCCTCTTTTGAGGACTTTACTCATTTTGCCTGATGTACCTTCTCACTTACATTCTTCCTCTCTTCTGGTCATCTGTTCACCATCCTTCAGCCCTAGCTGTCACTGTCTTCTACCAGGTATCGTTTTTTCTTGATTATAAGGCTCACCCAACTTGCCAGCCTTTCCCTTGGATCCTGGCCTTGACTAGTGACACAATTTGTCATTTTTCTTCATGGTACCATCTGGCTGGCTTACTCTTGGTTCTCTCTTCCATGTCACCTGACAACCCAACCCTCTTTCCTTGCCAATTTTACACCCTGTTGCTTCAACGTCTTCTGTTTCCTTCCTTCACAGGATTTTGTCCTTTCATCTCCATCAGGTCCATTGCTATTGAACCTGCCTTACCAATCTGTTAATCCTTCCCTGCCAAATGTCTTTCTACATGGTCCTTCTATCCATTTTGATGTTTGTCCATCTTTCACCAATTCCTAATATTAATTCTACAGTCAGAAATCTCCTTTCCCTTTTTCACTCTACATTCCATGAGATTCCTCTTCATCCTGTGACAAATTTCCTTCTGCATTTATTGGCACAGTCTGCCATATTCTCGGTTGGGTGTCTTTTCTTTTGTGGTTGTTGCTCACTGATGATCTGTATTTTGTCCCATCAGATTAATCTCCTCTCACATTATTTTGCTGCTTGTTTCCATCTGCCACTGGAGAAGATAATGTACCTCCATCACCCATTCTCTTTGCCATCTGTCTGTGTAGTCTCCCAGGGGTCACTGCCTGCCTCCATTCACCATCCTACAATCTATCCTGTCTTTGGATGGATATGTACATTCCCCTTTGTTTCTAGCATTTTTTTCAGGATCTCACCAGATGACTGGAACTGCCCCCTCCAGGTTACAATTATTTCCAAAAATTCTGCATCGAGCCAGGATAATGGAAAGCACTCATATCATCCACCTTGGCTCTGTTTATATACCTACTGTTGAGATGGGGTGTCCTCATGGTATATTCTGATATTTTTCTCCTGTCTGATCCAGACTGTATCTTTTCCATGGACTATCATGTAAAAATCTAGCACCAGGGGGTTCTCTGCCTGCTTCCCTTGTTCACTCTTGTTGGCTTTTCAAAATAGGTTTACATGGTTATCCATTGTACTCTCTCCGGTAAAAGACCTGTCTGACAGGCAACTGATGGAGTCTAGGAATTTTGCTGTTTCTCCCCCTTCTTTGAGTGAGCACGGAGACATTTACTACTAACCAATTCCTAGCTGCCTGGGTGGTGGACCATGTAGAACCCTCACTGACTGGGACAGAATAGGTGGGGCTGAACAAAAGGGGCCAATTCAGTGGGAAGTGGGGTGGGGTGACACTAGTGCAGGTCATCTCTCATATACTTATACTCTTAACATGCCAGTGTCCCCCATCCTACTACCACCCAGATGTTGGGTTCAAAGGTGGTCTGGTGTTGGTTGTGTCCTA